GCCGAGGCGGGCAGATTGCTCAAGGTCAGGAGTTCAAAACCAGCCTGAGCAAGAGCGAGAGCCTGTCTCTACTATAAATAGAAAGAAATTAATTGGCCAACTGATATATATAAAAAATTAGCCGGGCATGGTGGCTCATGCCTGTAGTCCCAGCTACTTGGGAGGCTGAGGCAGAAGGATTGCTCGAGCCCAGGAGTTTGAGGTTGCTGTGAGCTAGGCTGACGCCACGGCACTCACTCTAGCCTGGACAACAAAACGAGACTCTGTCTCAAAAAAAAAAAAAAAAAACCCCAAAAACCAAAGAGGAGAGAACACTCAAACACTTCCCAATTCATTCTATGATCCCAGTATCTTGATGCCAAACTCAGGCATCACAAGAAAAAAAAAAAAAAAACTATAGACCAATATCTCTTATGAATATGTATGCAAAAATTCTCAACAAAATTCTAGCAAACTGAATCCATCAACATATAAAAAGAATTATACAACATGACAAAGACAGATTTATTTCTGGAATGCAAGAGTGATTTGACACATGAAAATCAATGTAATGTACCGTATTAACAGAATCAAGGACAAAACCCATATGATTATCTCCATAGGTGCAGAAAATGCATTTGACAAAATTCAACACCCTTTGATAATAAAACCACTCAACATTCTAGGAACAGAAGGAAGCCACCTCAACCTGATAGAGGGCATCTGCATAAAAGTCACAGCAAACATCATACCTATTGGTGACAGATGGATAGGATAGCTCCCCACTCCCAGGACCAGAAAGCAGACATGGCTGCCTGCTCTCACCACCATTTTTAAATCAGATTATTTGTGGGATTTTTGCTGTTGTTGTTGTTGTTTGGTTATTATTATCATTATTTTTGCTGTTGAGTTGTTTGCAGTCCTTGTATATTCTAGATATTAATCCTTTTTCAGAAGAGTAGTTTGCAAGTATTCCCCCCCCATTCTACAAGTTGTCTGTTCACTCTGTTGATTGTTCCTTTTGCTGTGCAGAAGCTTTTTAGTCTGATATAGTCACATTTGTCTATTTTTGCTTTTGTTCCTTGTGTAGAATATAAAGAACTCTTAACGCTCAGAAATAAAAATGTAAATTTACAAAAGGGCAAAGTATTTAAAGAGACATTTCTTTTAAAATGACCAACAAGAACATGACAAGAAGCTCAACCTCATTAGTCACAGGCAAGTACAAACCAAACTGCAAGAAAATACTTTTCCACATCCATTAGGATGGCTAAAATAAAAAGACAATGACAAATGTTGACAAGGATGTGGAGAAATTCAAACCCTTATACTTTACTGGTAGGAAATTAAAACGATGTAGTTACTTTGGAAAATGTTTTTTCCAAGTAACTACATCATTCAAATGTTAAGCATTCTCAAATGTTAACAGAGTTACCCTACGATCCAGCAAATTCACTCCTGGGGATGTACTCAAGAGAATTGGAAATGTATGTTCACACAGAAATTTGTATAACAATGCTCATGGCAGCATTATTTATAATAGCCCAAAAGTAGAAACAACCCAAGTGTCCATCCGGTGCTGAATGGAGAAATAAAACATGGTACGTCTGTATGATGAAGTAGCATTCAGCAACAAAAAGAAATGAAGTACTGATACACGTACGTACCACATAGATGAACCTTGAAAACACTATGTTAAGTGAAAGCCAGCTACAAAAAGCACCACATCGTGTTTTATTCCATTTATATAAAATGTCCCGAATAGGCCAATCCATGGAGACAGAAAGTAGTTACGTATGTAGTTGCCAGGGGCTGGGTGAGGTAAGAACAGGACTGGCTGCTAATAGGTCTGGGGTTTCTGTTGGGGGTGGTGGGAATGCTCTGACATTAAGTAGTGGTGATGGCTGCGCAGCACTGTTGATACCCTGAAAATCACTGAATGGGTACACTTTTTTTTATTATTTCAGCATATTATGGGGGTACAGATTTTAAGGTTTCAATAAATGCCCATTTCCCCTCCGGGTACACTTTTAAAATGTGACTTTGTGTGGTATGTGAATTATATCTCAGTAAACCTTTTTTTAAGGGGGTAGGACAAGAGAGGAGTTAAGGACAACACCAGGGTTTGGGGTGTGAGCCAAAACTGAGACAGGGGCTATGGTGGGTGAGAGGCACACAAGACCAGCGGGAGCTCAGTTGCAGGTGTGTTGGATAGAGTCGTCCTGAGTTTAGGGGCAATGTCAGGGCCAGAGATATAAATGTGGGATTCATTAGCATTTAGATGGAATTTTAAGCCACGGAACGAACGCAATATCAAAGGGAGTGAGAGTGAGCAAAGAAGAAAAAAGCGTCAGAGACAGAGCACCGGGCATTGTGATGTCCTGGGGATTTCTGGGCGTGGGTCCAGTATGGCTCCTGCACAGTGGCCTTAGGGTCCATGCCACGGTGATGACGAGGATATAAAATTAAGTCCGTGATACAGCCAGGACCCAAACTCAATTCAGTCTCCTGAGCAAACTTGATTAAAACAGATTTATAGACTTTGGTTTATTATTTATTTTGAAAACCAAATTCACCCAAAGACATCATCTGAAGCCGCAAAGTTGGAGACTTCATATTTCTAACGAGCTCTCTTTTTGCCCAAAACTTGCCGCCCTCAGATAATCAGAATTCTGTATGTGGGAACACGTTGTCTATCCTATTTTCTTTTCCTAGTGCCACTCCATTTCCTTCCAACCTAAAATCATGATTACAAGATTAGCATCTCGCCTGTGATGATTCAGGCATATTGAATCACTTCCCAATGTGTATTTAAAATATATTGAAATCCTATCCTGGAAATATGGCCTGTAAGTTATTTCAGAATATATTTATTCCTATCAAATAAAAACTAATCAGCTAGCAGCCAAACAGCTAGATTTCTAGCATGCCTGATCAGATAGTCCTCACTCTTTGAATTGATTTTTCAGCCCAAATATTTTACTCCTTTAAATCATGAGGACACACAACACATTTCAGGAGTCTGCTGGTTTCTGGCATTCTCTAAAGGAGAGTAAAGTGACAGATGCAGATTTTCATTTTTCACTTGCTATTTTCTGTGAATTTAAAATCGTATACCCCAAAGAGGGCTGTTTTATGTCGACTGGCATTAGGATGGAAAGAAAGTTATGTCTTGTAAGGAAGATAGCATGGTATATTAGTTAGGGTAAGGCTTGCTGCTATAACAAATAAACTCCACGTTTTCCATAGGTTAACCCAATAGCAGTTCAGTTCTGTCTGCCGTAGCAATCCAACACCAGTGTTCCCGGTGAGTGGGCTCCTTTGCTTTCCTCCCATGCAGGGACTAGGCTGTCTCTAGCTGGTGGCCCCACTCCGCCGTAGGTCCTCAGAGCCCCCTGCATCCACATGCGAGAGCTGCAAGACTGGAGGAGGCACGCCTGCCTCTTCCAAATCCCAGCCGGAAACGACACACATCGCTTCCACTCACATTCCTGGGCTGAGTTCACGACCACCCTGGATGAAAGAGAAACTGGGAAACGCCTTAGTTTGGCAGCCACTTCTCAGCAACAACTTTGCATGTGGACAGAAAAGCGTGGATTTGAGGGGTGGGCACAGAAAGCTCTGGAGACAACCTCGAGTTTAAACTCTGAAACTACTGCCAGTACTTACACGACCTTGCATACGTTATTCAACCCTTCTGAACCTAGTTCCTTCATTCTCTTTTACAAAATGGGAGAAAGACCCACCTGTAGGGTAGTCGGGCTCATGAAAGGTAATATAAAAAGTGTGCTCACCACGGAGTAGTTTTACCAGTAAAACTCATTTTAGCCCAGGAGGCAAAAAATCTAACTCAAATAGTTGAAGCTGAAAAAGGAGGAGGTGTTGGTTACTGAAACCAGATCACGGGACAGATGGCCCTGTGGGCAGCTGGGTTCAGAGACGGGACTGTTGTTGGCGTACTCTCCTCCCACGCTTCTCGTCCCTACTCTTCAGTACACGTTGGCCCCACAGCTCCTGCTGCAGAAGGCTCCTCTCCTCCACACGGTAGGGAACCGAGATGCCCACAGCCCTGAGCTCACATGGCCTCGGCCTCACTACCAGCTCCCACCAGGAAAACCTGAGGGAAGGACACGGATGGACCAGGGTGGCTTCAAAGGCCACCGCCTGCAGTCACAGAGGCAAATCTCTCGGGAAAAGGGAGAGTGGGGCGCAGCCGGCGGATCAGTCAGTGGTGTGTAACTTGTGGTAGCTATTTTTATGTGAGGGATTTCGTGCCCACTTGCTGAGTCAACCTCAACTTCAGTACGAAGAGTTTCTCTCCACCTTTCCCTTCTTGGGCCTTGGTGGGGGGCCCTGTATAGCACCCCCCACACACCGGGCTCCAGAGTTAGCTCTGCGCTCCTCCCTCGCCACAACCCTCCTCCTCTCAGAAAGCTTATCGCAGGACGGGAGAAGAAATCAGCAGATAGAGGGATTCGCAGGGAGGCGTAAGTGACTGGCAATAGCTGTGCATGTCACCTTTCCATCCAGGAAAATCAGCATCTTCCCACAAATCCATATTCCAGACAGGAGGGGGGACACCTGTTGCACGAGCGGCCCCATGGACCCCCTTTCCCAGGGGTCGTGTCACTGTGGTCACCGCTGTTGTCCCCATGCCACCCCCCCACCCCACCCCACCCCCAGATACCCAGCCCTCCTTCCCATCTAGCCGCAGCCTAAAGCACAGACAGAAAGACAGGCTGGCACTTTCGAAATGAGTTTGCCAACTGCTGGCGGGAACTAAGGAAAAATAAACACAGAGTATAAACACGACAAACAAGAGCCTGGCGTGGGAGGTAAAGGCTTCAAATCTCCTCACAGCCAACTCGCCTCCTGGAGACTCAGAGGACAGGAAAGAAACTCCATCCAGGCACACCCTGCCCACTCCAGCCCTTAGATCTCACTGAACTTGCCTCCCGGTTCAGCTCTGCAAGCTGGGGCGTGTCATTTGACCTTGCAGGAACTCAAAGGGCAGCACCTACCTCCCAAAGTTGGTCTGAGACAACCTGCCACAGGCCGGGCAGCTGCACCAGCAGAAACGTCCTGTCTCGCAGTTCTGGAGGCTGCAAGTCTGGAATCAGGCCGTCAGCAGGACTGGCTCCTTCTGGGGCTGTGATCAAGAATTTGCCTCCTTGGGCCGGGCGCGGTGGTTCACGCCTGTAATCCTAGCACTCTGGGAGGCCGAGGCAGGCGGATCGCTCGAGGTCAGGAGTTTAAAACCAGCCTGAGCAAGAGCGAAACCATGTCTCTACTAAAAAACAGAAAGAAATTAATTGGCCAACTAAAAATATACAGAAAAAATTAGCTGGGCATGGTGGCACATGCCTGTAGTCCTAGCTACTCAGGAGAATGAGACAGGAGGATGGCTTGAACCCAGGAGTTTGAGGTTGCTGTGAGCTAGGCCGACGCCACAGCACTCTAGCCAGGGCAACAGAGTGAGACTCTGTCTCAAAAAATAAAATAAATAAATAAAAATTCACTGAGTATGGTGGCACATGCCTGTAGTCCCAGCTACTGGGTAGGCTGAGGGAGGAGGATCACTTGAACCCAGGAGTTTGAGGTTGCTGTGAGCTAGGCTGACGCCAGGGCACTCTAGCCCGGGCAACAAAGTAAGGCTCTGTCTCAAAAAAAAAAAAAAGAATTTGCCTCCTTGGCAAAGAAAACGGGTGCCCACCTGCCGTACCTCTTCACACTGCGAGAGGTCACTGAGGGGCGCCTCCCCTTAGCACGGAGCGGCAGTCGGCTCCGGCTGCCTGGCCATGTCCTGCCTCGGTGGAGACTGCCTGGTCGTACTGAAGAGTCTGGGTCCTGCCTCCCAGGTACCCAGGGGGCATCTAGTTCAACCCTGAAGCTCCACAGGGGAGCAAACAGAGGCCCAGAGAAGGGAAGGCACTGCCCGGGGCACACAGAGAGTTGGGAGCAGAGTCTCGGGGTGCCAGGCCACTGCCTTCTCTGTGCTGTGTCACTCCCATGGAAAGGCTGAGCTCTCTGTGGCTTCAAAGGCGAGGAGGAGCCTTATATTTAAAAAAAATTTAAAAAATTAGACAATAGGAGGCACATTGACTAGTCTCCCTGCTCCAGAGCCTGCAAAGAGGGCTTCTTCCAGATGGTCCTAAGGGGCCCACTGGCTGTGGAGTAAGTCACGCCCCTTCGCTCAGGCTCTGCAGGGGAGGGGCTGGACCCTGCCCACCTGGCAGGGCTGGCAGGGTGCCTTGAACACTGCAAGGCCCTCGCTACACTCCGAAAGTGTGCGAACAGCCTGCTCAGGGTTCGGGCAGGACCCACTGTCACGGCCCACCGTCCCCTCTTGCTGCACTGGCACGAACACGTCCCTCCTCCCGATTGGCAGCTTCCCCCTCGGTGCTCGGCAATCTCACCACTCCAAAGTCCGGAGTCTATGGGAACTAAGGAAAGGAGGCAGGAAAGCTTTTAGAGTGAATATTGTAGCTTGCATATTTCGAATCTTATCTATATGATAATGGCAACCGGATTTCCTGAGCCAAGAATCATGACGTATGGTCCCCTCGATGTTTTTCCTTCGTCTGTGAACACAGGCATAGGAAGAGTCTCGAACACACTCACCGTACTCAGCCATTAAATGCCATGTCAAGAATGAACACTACAGAAAAGTGATGAAACCTCCCAGCATCCGAACTGCATAGAGAAGTCCAGATCATGTGGCTCCTGCCTCTGCCTGTCCCCTCCCTCTCCAACTTGCTCCCCGAGGCCGGGCAACCGTTTGCGTTTCAGGACCAGGGGAGTCCGGGCAGAGCAGCCGCCAAGGCACTGCTGCAGCCGGGCTCGCCAGCCGGGCTCTGCGCTCAAGATGCCAAACAACCAGCGGAAAAACAGAAGCATCCGTCAATCAACCTGCTGTTTGTTCGACAGGATAGAATTGTGTAGAGCAAACAGCCTGTGTGATTGGGTTTTTTGGAGTGAAGTGACTGAATTCCACTTCATGGCAAGCCCAGCTTCCATCTCTCGTGCCAATGCTTCGGTGCCAGATAACGTCCCCCTCCCTGCTCTCGTGCAGGAACTGCGTCACCTGCACTGAGACCCAGCCCTCACCTGTGCGCTGAGAGCGAGGAAGGGGAGACGAGCCAGAGCAGGGAGGCTGCTGGCTCCACGCCCCGCCCTTCCTCTCCGGCCCTGGGCTCCCGCGGCCCTCCCTCCTCCCCCGCACCCTCCTCCCCACGCACCGGCCAGCCTCTGCCTTGTTCCCCAAGCCCCGGGACCATTCGTGGGAAAGTTCTAAACAGCCTCATGCCAAATCCTGCTCTTCCTGCAAGAGGCTTCTGTGTCCACTGCAGGCCAAGCTCCTCCAGACACTTCACATCCTTCCCCTCCCTCACCCCTGACAACGTTTCTATAAAGGACTCTGTTTTGCAGATGAGGACATTGGTCCAAAGGGGTCAGGTTGCTTAACCCCGAGGGCTGTCGGTTCTGTGGTCTGACCTCCAGGGACGGCTCCCGGGACAAGGCCCGGCATGCTCAGGTGTGCCCTTCACACCTGGGCGACACAGGAGTCTCGCTGCAGGGCCTCCTGGGATCTGCCCTGGCCTTGTCCCCACCGTGAGCAGGCAGCGCTGCCTTTCGGGCATGGGGGTTCAGAATGGGCTAATGCGTTTGTGTTTATTTGGGGCAGATGTAAATTAATAGTGGAGAAGATCCCTTCTGTAGTCTCACAGCCTCCTGCCCTAGAGAGGGGGCGCACGCTCAGCTTTCATGCTCGGCAGCGACTGCGGCTCACAGCACAGTGATGTGTGCGAGGACCCCCTAGTGCCGTCGTATCCGTGTTCTCATTGACTCCTCCAAGCAGCCCTGGAAAGCAGGTGTCCCTGCTTCACAGATCAGATAGCCGGGGTTTTGCACAGCTAGTGCCTTGCCCTGGTCACAGACCCATCAGTTGAACCCAAACCCGAACCCAAGCGGACGATGCCTCATCCCGGTGTCCACGTCCTGCAGTCCGCTCAGGTTTTCCTCCCCTCTCTGCTTTTCGTGAGCAAGATCTCCTTGGCGCTTTCCCACCAAGAGTCCGTGGTGTGCTGCAGGGCCATCGGGCCTTCAGGCACGTGGCCGCTGATCAGAAGCGTCGCTGAGTATCGAATCCTGCTGTCCTCAGCAAGGACATATTTGAGGGCGTGAGCCTGACCTCTCCGGCCTCCCCCTAGAGCCAAGCAGCGTGTCCTGGGGATGCCCCGTCCCTGGAAGTAAACAGCGGGGGGATCGATCCTCCCCCCATGACCAGGTATCATCAGTCTTCTGAGAGAGCACAGGCCTCCTCCAGGGCTCGCAGTGTGGGCTGTCTGGAAGGACAGTCCCAGTAGGATTATTTCATTGCAATTCTCTCGTATGGTGTAGAAGGATTACTGCCACCCTAAAACTTGTCACTCTAATCTAGGTTCGAAGGGACAGAGCACTCCACGTCTGCTTCCCCTCACACAGGGACTCGTGAGGCCCGTGCCGTCTGCACCCTGCTCTGTCTGGTTCGAACGTGGCCTGCGGGCGAGACGGCACAGCACCGGCCACAGGGGCGGGCGGCACCATCAGTGCTCGCTGGATAAGCAAAACACGAAAATCCCGTGATTCATGTCTGTCCTTGCACTCAGGGCAGCCACACCCCGGCCACACTCATGAGGTTTGATTGTTCTGAAACCTCCTGGTATTAGATCAGTCTCTTTCTGAGTCACTGGCCCAGGCTCCGGCTTTCCAAGCGAGTGGCCCTGGGGCAGGCGGCCACACCTCTCTGCTCCTTCCTCCCAGAGCCTCGGTGCCGGTGCCGCACGTCCTGAGTCACAGTCTGCACCATTTTATATCAGGGACTTGAGCTTCCTCCGATTTTGGTATCCTCGGGGGTTCTGGAACCAATCCCCTGTGGGTACTGAGGTGTGACCGTGGCTGGACTGTCGGTCAGGCTCAGTACCTCTCAAAGAAGGTGACTTCCTGCCTCTTTGGGGTTCAGGCCCATAAGGAAGTGCTTATCTTCCACATTTATCAGAGTCTCCTGCGACCCCAGTAAGGCTGATCTTTCTACCTTCTCAGCATCCAGCACATTCCTGCCCCGAGGCTCTGTCCAGCCTTTCCCCTGCCTCCTCCTCTTCTCTTCCTCATACCTTAGCGATCCTTCAAGGTCCAGTGCAGCTCCCAGTCTCCTCCATGGAACTTCTCTTCCCTACCCTGACTGGTGCAGGCGGATCCCTCCCCGGACCACCCCATTTAGGCCCTCACAGTGGTGGTGGGCCATTTCCTGTGAAGCCAACAGGAAATTGAGGCCAGGGATCTCAGCCTCCGTTTCATCTTCCTTCCTTCTTGATCTGTCAAAACCTTCTTCTTCTTCAAGGCACGACTCAGCCATCAGCTCCTCTGGGGAACCTCCCTAGATTCCCAGCGTCCAGGCAGGAAGAATGGCCTCATCAGCACTTGGGCTTCTCATTCTATGGTAACCCAGCCCACCTCCTCTGATAACATTACTTTTGATAAGCGTATTTCCCATGGCAGTAGGTGGTAAGTAGAGGTTGAATGGAGATATAAATATCTCAGAGCTATCACTGTAGCAGGCATATGCTGCTAATCAACTCTTCTAGACGGATTGAATGAAATTGTGGATTTGGGTGTCTGCTCACCTTGCTGTGTGAAATCTTTGAAGCAACATATGTCCACGATCACAATCCATAGCGTCTAAACCATATTGCAGTCTTGACATCTGAGAAGCCTGAATTTATGAATATCACTATACCCCTTTTTGTCCATTTGGTCATAGAAACAGAGTGCTAGGAACCACCAACTTTCAGTGCCTCTGAAAATGTTTGAAAACTGCACAATGAAAATGAATAAGTTCAATTAAAATTTTCTAACATATTCTATATAATTCTATACAGCACTAATGGTATATATAGATAGTTGATAGTTGATATATAATATGGGTCTTTCTTTTCTTTCTTTCTTTTTCTTTTTTTTTTGAGACAGAGTCTCACTCTGTGCCCGGGCTAGAATGTGTGTGGCGGTCAGCCAGCTCACAGCAAACCTCAAACTCCTGGGCTCAAGTGATCCCCTGCCTCGACCTCCAGTAGCTGGGACTACAGGCATGCGCCACCGTGCCCGGCTAATTTTTTCTATTTTTAGTAGACACAGGGTCTCGCTCTTGCTCGGGCTGGTCTCACCTCCTGACCTTGAGGG